GGTAACGTGGGATATTGAAGATGGGAACAAATTTTCTTACACAGGAGATGTTTGAAAAGTGATGTTTGACGAAAAAAATGGTTCTTTGATACCACCTTCGTCCCACTAACAATGGGACAAGAGGGGGAGGCACACAAACTAATAAAAAATAGTTTATGTGATTGATATTGAATTGATAAAGTAAGAATAAAGTAAAAATCATTTAGAGTCGTACAATGACACAAACTTTGCCAAATTTGATATGAGACAATCTTTGTGAGACGGATCGAAATGGTAAAATGGGACAATCTTAGCGGGACGGAAGAAGTACATTTTAGCGTTTTCAATAAATGAGAACATTGTCTGGTTAATAGCTATTTGGTCATAGCATTTTTGAATGGAATTATCGTTGAAATGAAAACGCCGCAAATAGGAGAGTTTTGGGTTAACGTTTTGAAATATGACGTTTTCTATTAAATTTTATTACCAAACAGCTAAATTAGCAAACATCTTCTGACAACTCGTCAACTTATTCAACTAGTCAAACCCGCTGAATGAATCTGCTATTGATAACCTGTTAACAAATATAACCCGCTAACCGCTAAATACGATAGTATATGCCAACCACGCCCATAGTCAGAAGACAGAAGCCGCAAATTATACCGTGGGATCGGCCCACCATGAACATGGTGTGTCGATCCCAAAACGACACAGTTTTATGCATCCTATTAGAAAAATAGCAATCGCCGGATCCCCTTCGTCTCCTTGGTTGTTTCAGCTCACCATAGAACTTTGTCGCACTCCCCATGTTGGACCAGAAGTCATTCGAAGAGTTCTTTGCATAAAAAAGTATTGTGTTTACATACATGCTTCTAAAATACGAATTGTGCATCAAATAGACCCGGACAAAAGATTATCGCCCCATTCAAATTATCTCTTTTTTAATTCTGAAATTGCAGGTGCCGTATTTTGGATATGGAGTACTGTGTATATGTGGGTAAATATAAATATATAATGACTTCAAGCTAAATGTTTGTTTTAGTATATACGTAGTATGTATAATAGTAATAATGTTTTGAATATGAAAGTTCAGATTCTAATAAAGAAGACCCACTTTCTTAACATGTTGAAGATGACTGCTATGAATTATTTTAGACCTTCCCTAACTTACATCTTACTCACACTTAAGTTACACCAACATTTGCCTAAAGTTACATATCTAGTAGCGTGAGTTACATGTCAACTTTCTTCATCAAGTTACATCTCGCTTACATGTAATTTACATTTTCCATAATGTAAAGCACGGTGCTCACCGTGGGATGATCCCACGGTATACGAACTCGTCAGAAACATTTTGTCCATGCTAAACTACTATTATATTGCCTACAACTTTTTATTTTTACGACTGACATTTTTGTCTATGGCCTAATTTGAGAGAAAAATAATGGGTGCGAAAGATTTAAAAACTTTGTACAAAAAGTGTGACAATTTTTCTATCGTGTCAAAAACTTTAAAAAATTAGCAGTATCTATTCTATTGTGAAGCCAGGACCACTTTTACAAAAAAATCAAACGACTCGGGATCACATTCACAAATTGATCACCCAAAGACTCAATTGATGGAATGAAAATATGATTTCCATTTTACAATCTATACTAATATAAAAAGGGAAACTATTGACATTCAAAGTTACAACCGGACAAATATGCAGTCCTTGGTCCAAAATCTATTCCTGCCGATTCACTTTTCTCGCTTATGTAGTTATGTATGTATGTGTATAGTCATCTCATGCTCATAATGTACGTTTTTAAAAACAGGATCCACGATATGATGCACTGGATGAGTATGTTACATGCAGTCTTGGGTCAGAAAATTATGAACTGCTCCAGAAAAGGTTAGGTGTTGACGTGTTGCACTCGCAATAAATGTGGAATATAATTTTTTAATAGAAATATAATGCTTCAAAGAATTGTTTATTTTTATCATTTTAAGATAGATACGAAGTATTTATTAATGGACTGAAATATATTCGCCTGGTCTGGTTTGATTTGTTTAAGTTTTATTTGGTTTGATATGAAATGGTCGGGTACGGTAAATGTTTGGTCTCTATATTTTACCAGTGTGAAAATATGGTCTAATTTGTTTAAATCTGATGTGATTTGGTTTGATTTGTTTAATATGATCTAATATCAGATTAATTTGTTTAAATCAGATTAATTTGTTTAATCTGGAGTGTAATATCTAATATCATGTGATCTACATTATATGGAGTATATTATCTTCAATATATTTTGACCTATGTGTAGTGATTTATTTTTTATATTGTATAGAAGGTGTAAATCATTTAAAAGCAAATGAACGAAGATTAGAACAAGAACTAAATTTTTGCTTACCAAAAAGTAAATCAACACTAACCGGTGTTTAACATTATACTTCATTTTGTCAAAAAAAAAAAAAAACATTATACTTTATACCTTTTGCCAAAAAACATTTTATTTCATACCTAAACAAAACATTATACTTCATTTTATCCACCTATTAATCATTACGGTGTAACTATAATTTACTTATTCTTATCTATTATAATATGTTGAATTTTATATGAAACTCTTTATAACTTGATTGAAATTTTATATCTTTGACTTTCTTTGTTAACGGCGGTGACTTTCTTGGTTACAAATTTCATACTTTTATGAGATTATTTCTAATGACCAACATTTTCACAATAGTTTCATATTAAGAAATAATGTTTTATGTAATTATAAAAATTATTAAATTTTAACACCATGGACCAACTATTTTAAGGATGTATATTAATTATTACTATCCTTCATATTGCATTAGTAGCAGCATTGCAAATTACACATGCCTCGTGTATTAATTATTACTATCCTCCGTATTGCATTATTCACTACAAAAAACAATGAATCAGCGACGCAAATAGCAACGGAAAATCAATGTAATTCCGTCAGAAACAAAATCAGCGACGAGTACTGCTACGGAAAAGTTTCGTCGGAATACAGTGGTAGGAAAAGTTGCCGATGAATATTTGTTACGGATTTTTAAAACACCTACGGAGTACTGACGGAAATAAACCGTCGCTATTAGTGACGGGCAAAACCGTCGCTATCATTTTCAATAAATAAATCAATATAATAATTATACCAACGGTTATTTCCGTCGGAAGTATACCAACTAATAAAAATGTAGCGATGTTAGAATCCACTTTAAATACCCAATACGTAGAAGATAATACACAACACAAATTCTACAGTACACAACCTAACCACACAATCCAACATATTAATAGAAAAAACACCAAATATTATACTTTGAACATTTCAATCTTATACTCTGATTGTTGGACTTAATACATAGATGTACACCCTTGGTGTAAATTTAACTTTATAACACCAAGGGAAGAACATAACCGTCAAGGATTTTGGCATTTGTTGGGGACTTCCGCACGCTGTGGGGAACTTGAGGTTGGAAGGCTTCAACGGCGGACAATAATTTGAGGTTGGGCGGCTTCGACGGTGGAGAACGATTTAAGGTTGGGCGGTTTCGGTGATGGAGAACGATTTGATTTTGGGCGGCTTCGACAGTGGACAACGATTCGAGGTTGCGCGGCTTCGACGGCGGTGGACAACGATTTGAGGTTCGGTGGCTTCAATGGTGAACAACAAGTTGAGGTTGCACGGCTTCGGCGATAGACAACTATTTCAGGTTGGGAGCTAGGGTTTGAAGAAGAGCGGTGCTTTGAAGTTGGGAGGATTTCTTTGAGCAAAACTAAGTGTGGATGAAATGTATAGATAAGAATTAGGAGTGTCGCAATAGAAATAATTGATAAGAGGGGCGAAATGGTTAATTCAATAAATTACCGACGGATAAAATCGTCACTAAACCGTTTGAAATTCAGCGACGGAAAAATTGGTCGGTAAAATGGTTGTATTTTCGTAACAATTTAACAACGGATTTTCGACGGTTTTCTTACAGTTCCGTCGGTAAGCCGTTGGTAATTCCGTAGGTAATTTACGACGGTTCTAACCGTCTCCAAATATCCGTCGCTATATCCATGTTTTTTGTAGTGATTTTTAAAAAATATTGTTGAATTCATCTCACTAAAAAGTTTCATTATCTGATTTTTATTTATTTTTACTAATACAGAATTAAATATAATGATGGTCAAAATTGTGCGTTGACAAATATGAAAAAGTGAATGTTGCAACTAAAAATGAACACAGAAAGTATTATTTTAATATAGTAGACAGTTCGTCAATCGGAGCAAAAACAACATATTGATCACTCAACGCAACATCTCAAAATTGCAATGGATCCACGCTTCAACAATTTTTTGGATAATAATACCTCACAAAGGAATTAAATCTTACTTTCTAATTTTAATATCTTTTAATATCGTTTGCAATTGCTATATCATATATACATTTGTCTTTAGTATGTTTCATAACTTAATTTTGGCCCTATTGATAAAGTAATTGCTTAGCCCTCGATTTTATTATATATGTAGTAGTAATTTATGTGCATCTTTCATTAAAAACCAAAATAGATACAATATCAAAAAGAAAAATGTTCCCGTGCATCGCACAGGTACGATACTTGAATAACATAATTTAGCTAGAGTTTAATGCGGGGATGACCGATGTTGTTCATATATATAGTAAGTTAGGCATGGCCGCATGGGTATAGTTCAACGATTGGTGATCGAGTGAAACAGTTAGGTTAGGTTGAAGTCTGAGGTTGAATGGTAACGTGGGATTTCATCAGACCCTTGACTAGCTAGTATTAATATATATTATTTGATGAGTTTACGTTCTTCTATATATGTAGTACTAGCATCGGCACGCGCTTTGCGCGGGGGTTGATGCCCAATGGTGAACATTTATGGTCAATATGAAGGGAGCAAAATTAATACAAAAGTTACCAAACGGACTCTTTAAGTGGTAGTTCTTGAACAACATAGTTCCAAGAATCATAAACATGCATGTCCTGTGTTGCTGCTCTAAAAGGTGAGATATACATAGAAACATGAAAAACAAGTGTTTCGAGAATTTCAGTTCATGTAGAGTTTATGACTATGAACATATATAAATGCACTCTTTTCAAGAGTTTTTGTGCTTCACTATGCCCGTCTAACAAGGCATGCAAGAAACGATGTAGCACGACACCTCTTAATCTAAAAGATCTCAAATTTTGAAAAAATTGTATGTATAGTACACGCACACTTATTTTAAAATGATCCCACTTTAGACTTCTATTGTGAAAATATGAGCACTATGATGTGTACATATTTTTTTATACAAGAGCTAAATTTTATGATTGACACCGGGCCTCCTAGAAGTTAAAGATGACCTTGATACGTGATCACAAAGTAGTCTAACTTGGCAACATAAATGCACAACCAAGGTGAGAGTCAGACATAATATACATTATTGGAGGAAATGAGAAAACGCAAAAGACTTACACCATATTTCCCAGGAAGGTGTTGAAGCTTAAGCCATTAAAACTGCACTGTGATAAAGAAGCTTCCATTCAAAGAGCTCTTCTTGTGGGAGGACACCTCCAATTAGCCATGTGTATTCCTTCCTTAACACTATCATAGCAGAATGAATATTGTCCTGGTGGATTAATCTAGGAACGTTAGAACCTACACAATAAAGATAACACATTCAACTCAAAGTAAAAAAGAACTCCACCAAATAATAAAGGGTCAATTTCTTAAATATTATTTCTATTAACTAACTACTCATTAAATAAAAATGTGGATTTTAGAATGAAATATCACAATAACATATAATCGACACAATGACTGTTGCAATGACATTGGTAACATCTTTTTCCTCAAAGTAAACATAAAAAATTAAAAGTTTTGTCCGAAAAAATACATAATGAGCGCATAAATGAGACAGGGAGGGCTTAGAAAATTGAGCACCCAATGTTGAAAATACACATGGTACCATATAGGCATATTGAGAACCCAATGATGAAAATACACACGATACCATATAAGTATAAAAAGTTTTCCCAAAAATGGATGCTGCCATAAGGATATCATGGGATGAAAGTTTAAATTGTTAATCGATCGATCCAGGATGAAATTTGGAATATGCAGTGGGCAAGGAAAATAATATATTTCTATAAATGCAATTAACAGATATAATCTTCTTAAGAGAAAGTTATTGCTTCTTAAGATAAAGTTATTGTAAGATCTGTTTACTTACCCAAAACGTGTATTGAAAGATCTATAAGCTATCAAGAGAACTTCACTGATTGGGAGTCTCAAAGACTCACGCAACTCGCGGTCAGGAACTTTCCATTGTGACCTTTGATGAAGTTTTTCAAACAGCATGTTGAAAGTCTTGTACCTGTTCTCCACCATTGCTCTCGGAACATTGCTGGAGGTGGAACTCGGAGTGGCATCACATGTGAATGAACTGCTTCCACTTGTTGAAACTCCGTGATTGATACAGACTGAAGAATCAAAAACAAAACAAAATCATGATCAGGGAGTTCTAAGCATGTTGTGACCAAATTTACCCATACATAACTAAAGAAGCATGTTTTAAAGTTGTGATTGATATTCCAGCGCTTATATGTTCTTGGGCTTACTTAAATATAAACTTAAAAAAGATGTCCATAAAATGGCCGTAGAAGAAAACCTTAGACCAAGAGAGTCTCTTGTTCTGGTTAACATGTTGCTGGACTATCCTTTTGTGTATCTGCACCCAATCATTACCTAACATATCTTTTGCTTCCAACCTAAACAATCCAATAAATAAATCTAAGTGTAATATACTCCCTATGAGTTATTGGGATACTATCATTGACATGTCAACAAAAGACATAAGCAAAACTAACCTGTGAACAGACCAAACAATGTAGTGATCCTTATCAGTTTAATGGTTATTTGAAGAAAATTGATTAAAATGAATGGCTAAATAAAATGAAGGTAGATAAATACAGAAATGAAGTACAAGCAAATGAAACAAGAGCAATACCAGGCAAGTAAGAAACTTTGGGCACTGAATTCATAGACTATGTTTGCACTAAATAAGTTTCTTATAGCATCATCCTGCAAGCATGGAGAATATATAAAGAGAGCATAAGATGAAAAGTTCTGATGGCAGGGTAGTTACCGGGGGTCATTAGTTTATATGAGAAAATAAAATATTACGGTAGAAATATGAGTAACCTGAGTATTGAATAATAACGTGGAAAGCTCATTATATTCCTTCTTGTTCTGACAATAGAACTGTGAATACAAATGACTAAAAGCATGAAAAACACTACCAATACAATTAATAAAATACCGCAAATAGCATTCAACCCCAAAAATAAAAAAGATGAGTGAACAATGTAAAATAACAATGACCAAAATCTAAAAAAGCAGGACCTGTTATAAAGGTCAAATCGAGGTTTGAAAAGGCTAGTTCGGGTATCGAGAAAGTTTGTCCCGTAGAGGTGCGGCGCAAGCCTCAATACATACCGACAAATAAAACTTTAAGTAAAAAAAATTAACTATAGATATACAAAATCACAAGCTCAAAAAGTTCAAAACAAGAAAGTAGCATAATTATGAGAAAGTTCAAAATGAGAAAGTTCCAAATGTAGCACAATACCTGATTGTACATGAAAAGGTAGAATTTGTAGTATGGGAGTCCTCAGAAATGATATCATCATTGGACAAATAAATACATTTCATGTGTAGAAACAAATTATAAAAAAGTATATAAATGAATTCTTTTATCCGGACCACCGAACATTTCCTCTAGGACAACTGTAAATAGATTGGAATACATATGTAGTAGTGTTTTTTCCTTCTGATTTGTTTAACTTTGAATACTTACCACCAATATGAACATAAACTTCTATTGTCTAGGAGCATACTGGCATGATAAGAAGCACAGACCAAGTGTCAGTCGGGACTCGGGATTACCTTATCCATAAGTGACCCAATTATTTTGCAAAAACATGGAAAGCTTGGGACCAAAGGTTTCACGGTATTGCGTGGTGCTGCAAAGATCTAAAAATCTACAAGCTGAAAAATCTAGAAATAGGTTAGTTGTGAATCAAGACTTAGCAAAAAATCCAGCATTTGTATTCATGACAATTGCAAAACCTGGACATTTGCTTTTAATCCAAACGCTTTAACAAGTAAAGTAATATTAGGATTCCCTGCCCATTTGAATGATGGCTCCAAGATTAGCTCTTTTTCATCGGTAAGATAATCCTTCATACCTTGAAAGGAAGGGAACCATAAGTATTTAGAGATTAAAGTATACTTATATTACAAGAGAAAACTGAATGTCTAAACTTCCTATGTGACAAACATACACCACTGGAAAGATAAAAATGAACTGGGGTAATAGAAATAGGATATCATCATTCAATATGTACCGAGGACTTTAATAAATTCAGTAAGATTTCTTGTTCAATTTTATTTCCAGGCTTCAGTTAGTAGAAAATCAATTCAGAAAACGGTTATTACTCATTCAACAAGCTTTGCAGAGTTCGATAACATGTAAGTATATTAGAAACCGTCCAAAAAAATATTTTACAATGTGTCAAGATAAATCTAAGAACCAATCTAGTCTAGTCTAGAAAGCTTAAAGAGCATACATCAAGAGGAACAAGCCCCAAACCAGTGAGGTTAGAAGACCAGTCCAAAACAGAAATTAAAAACATTACAAGTCAAAGGCAGTTTTACTCCAAACTGTCGCAATAAAGAAACTGCAGCATCAAAAATTATATAACCTCAACCATTAGCCTACCTAGTAATGAACTCAAATAAAAGTCGTCTACTGCCCAGCGGCAGTAAATCTGTGGTTACAGCAGAAGTGCGCACCACCCCTCCCCAATTCCACAATTGTGTTCCAATTCCAAACAAAGCAGTAGTGCATCGCTACCATCACTGAACGAACCAGAAGGTTATTTCATTCCAGTCAACCGTTTTTTCTTTTTCTTCTTACTCTTAAAAAGATTTGGAAGCTGTAGTGCGCCTCAATATTTACTGTGGATGCTGAAACTATGGTTTTCAATTAATCTTAAAAAGAAAGGGCTGAAATCTCTAGTTTGTTAAATTAAAGCATAGATTTGCATACCTCATGAGATTGAAAGAGCTGGGCTGAAATCGATGGTTCTCCTCGCCCAATAGACTTTTCCCAAATTAGCCGAAACGACACAAAGCTTTCTTGAAAAGAGATTGGAGTTCCCCGTGAGGCCATAGATGCTTATTGAAGTTGCTTGTACTCCATGGAGGTTGAGAGGCTTGGCGGAAGAAGCTCCTCTCAACCCTAGCTCCGCGGTCTGCGAATTCCTGGAGAGCGAATGACGAATGAATCAGGAAAGACATCCGGGCTCTTTTTATGCGGGTGAGCGATAAACCGAGAAAGAAAACGGAAGTGTTAAACATTGGCACTGTAGTAACGGAAAAAAGCCCAACATAACTTCCTTTCACAAATTATATATAAGTAGATAGATTAGTAATGCTACGTATGTTCTTGAATCTAGCTAGATGAGGAAGGATAGTAATAAAGCATTTTTGGGTTAGGTTAAGTGCTATACTTTTACCGATGACAAGCATGTACTTGTATTAGATATTTAGATGATGAAAAGGAGTCTTGCCACGCAAAACTGTAGGCACAAAATATATCAAATATGTAGTTTTAGCTTTATTGGTTATTTCACCGTGATTAAGAATTACTACGTACAATATGAGAAAGAGGAAAAGTAAAAAAAAAGTGGAAAAGTAAAAAAAAATGTAATTAAGGAGAAGTGGAAAAGTAAAAAAAGTGATGTATAAAAACGTATAACGCAACTATCCTAGCTCTTTTTGTGTCATACTACGTATATGATTTTAATGTAGTGTCACAGTGTCAGCAAAAATTTTGTTCAATTTTTCTCTCCTTTTCTTTTTTTGTATATCCAAGGCAACTAATCCGAACCCTCAGCTTGCCTAGCTATCCTGTTTTGGTTAAAATATTCCTTTACACGGGCATTTTATTTTAAGAAATTACAAACAAAAATTTCATGTACACATTGTGTTATTGTGTACACAATTTTTATATTTTGTCCGTGTATAGATAATTTGTCAAAAAGATGGATGCCACACCACTTTTGACCGAATTATCATGTGAACAAATAAAACGTAACAAACGGTGTATAAAAACATACTATTGGGTGTGTTTCGAAAAACTAAGAAAATAATTAATAAAATTAATTAAATAAAATGACTTAAAGGAAAAACGAGAAATGAGATGAAGCAGAATGTTGGTATTGGCCCACTTACTTTCCCTAAGCCCAAATTCAGTTATGATTGCACCGGCCCATGTTTTGAACTGGTCACATGTGTACTGCGTCTCCTTTGCCAAGACTTTCCTTTGCCGAGCGTCATTCCCTTTCCTTGAATTACGATTCCCTGTAATATTTGTTCTCTTGGAAAGTTTCCTTGTATATCATTGGTGCCTAGACTTATTTAAATCGTTCTTCTCCTTCGTTGGAGGAAGTTGGCCGAAACTCTTCTCCTAAATTCGTACCTCTGCTCCTCGGTGGAGCCAGAACTGATTTGGCCGGAAATCCAAGGTTGTTGGCTGACGCCCATTCTCCCCTAGTTGTCCTTGGTGGTGAAATTCATCCTTTGAGGATGAAATAGGAGACCTCAGCTGGAAGAACCGTCCTCTAACACAGAATAAGCCAAAACTCGTGTCACACACGATTTACTTAAAACGTATTCGTTGCCTCCCGGGGTGCTAGGAGCGTTGCAACGATCGTTTCAGGATACGATGACTTCGAACAATAGTTTAGCACTCAAACTAAAGTTCCAACGAACGAGAACAAAGCTTAGAACACAGAAGGAATTTCGGAAACTGGAGGTGTTTTTCGGGAGCTCAAACTGTGTGAGTACGTTTGTGAGTGGTGTTTGTTGCAAATCACCTGCGAGCTACTTATAGGAAGGATTTGGAGGTGTGTTAATGGAGGTTTAATGGATATGAACGTTGGCAATCAATGTCCAGCTTGTTGGCATTGATTCGTCCAAAAAAACCGTCCATTTATTGCAAAGGAACGTTGGGCATTTATGGCGTTGTAACGTCCCAACAGCTGTCTGTTGTGGAGCCAACTGCTCGCACAGAGCAGTAGCCTGCTGTCGAGCCCATTGCGGACGTAGCAGTGGCCTGCTCCAACATGGAGCAAAAATCTGGAAACTAACGGAGGAACAAAATTTAACGTTTATCTTTAGAAGATAGAATTTTCGGACGACATTCGTGTCTGCAGGTCGCCCGCGCACGCAAGTCGGGCTTTTTGTTCTCCGGTTTCGGGATTTGATTCGCACCCCCCTGCGTGCGTGGAGAGAGCCTTTACCCTAAGGAATCTTAACTCCTTAAGGGGGGTTTCCCTTTATAAAGGGTTCAAATTCCCTTGGGTTTTCCGGTGTGGGAAAACCACACTAGAAACCCATCATTTTCCTAGTTTTCTCCATTCCAACGAGTGAACTTCGAGAATCAATTTCTCATTCACCCGTTATCCGTTTTGAGCGGACCATATATCGAATTGTAGCCCTAAGCAAGGATAATCTGAAACCACTTTGACCCGACCCAAATCGGAAGTAAACCCCACTCAAAAAAATTCCCCAAAATGACCATTTAATGCAATTTCCAACACATTTTTCCAACAATCCCCCACATGAATGAAAATTGATTTTCGAGACTTAAAAAGACACGAAGATAGGAGGACACGTTGTGTTCACCGGATGATCCTTGTATACGGAGAGGTAGGTTTAATCCTTTGAACCTTCCGCTGAAAAGACTCGTTTATTTACTGGCTGTTGATACACTTGTAATTTCCGTGTGTATGTTTATGTTTTTAGCTAGTTTTAATTGTTTAATATTTCGTAAATTACACACTTTTGGTGTAATAGTCATGTTTGTAAAATAGTTGTAATATGTTTAGATTAGGTCCATTCTGAGTTTAAACAGGTCCAAGATCAATTCAATGATCATTGGTGAAGGAAGGTGCAGTGCAAGACAAAAAGAAGGCAAAATCCTGATTTTTGACCTATACTCGATCGAGTATAGCATATACTCGATCGAGTATCTTGTTGAGATTTCAAATCGGATCGGATCTGAAAACAAAGGAACATGCAGGGAAGATTTTGACCACGATCGAGTGTCGATACTCGATCGAGTACACCGACATACTCGATCGGGTATGACTATAAATTATACTCTGAATTCGGTCGAGTATGGGTCGAATTCAAGTTTCTACTCATACTCGATCGAGTATATATACATACTCGATCGAGTATGCCTTTAATTTTAAACCTGAAATCGATCGAGTATACCTCGAATTTGCATTTCTACACATACTCGACCGAGTATCTTTATATACTCGATCGAGTACCCGAGCTGCACTCCCAAAAAGCCTATAAATACACCCCCTTTCCTTCACAATATGATACCAATTCCTATATACTTCTAAGCTCAGTTTAGACAAGTTCTTTCTTTATATTTTTATCATGTTTAGTCTCCAAATGAGGAGCTAAACTCTTCCATCTTGGTTTTGCTACTTTGAAGCTTAATGAATTTGTAAGTTGTGAGTTATTCTCTTTAATCTTCTTCCTTGAATATTAATTCTTCCTTTAAATACTATTTCTATATCAATGTTGGGGAGTGTTACTAAGATGACAATTAGTTAGCATCTTGACATTAGTTATAGTAATACACCCCCTTTCCTTCACAATAGGGGAACCAATTCCTATATACTCTTAAGCTCAGTTTAGAATAGTATTTCTCTATATTTCTTTTAGCATGTTTAGTCTCCAAATGAGGAGCTAAACTTCCAATTCTTGGTATTGCTCTTGAAGCTTGTTGATTATTAAAGTTGTGAGTTATTTTCTTAACTTCTTTCCTTGAATATTAATTCTTTCTTCAAATACTATTTCTATATCAATGTTGGGGAGTGTTGCTAAGATGACAATTAGTTAACATCTTGACATTAGTTATAGTAATAGTCATTTCTTCCTCTATGTTAATATTGGGGAGTGTTACTAAGATGACAATTAGTTAACATCTTGATATTAACTATAGTAGGATTCATCTTCTTTAATATTCTTCCTTGAGTATTAATTAATTCCTATTCATATTTCATATTAATATTTTGAACATTACTTAAAGGATCAACTAGTTTTGTTTCATATATTAATTACTACTAGATTCGATCAACGAACCAATGGTTAATCGTTGATAGTTTCACAAGTAAGTAACTTCGGTTTATTAATGCACGGTCGTGGTTAATAAACTTAAGAGGGATTAATTTTGTTGGTTAAACCAAAACCGTTGTGTTGAGGTTATCAATCTCAATTGATTTCATCAAGGAGTTAAAAGATTAAATGCTACTACCAAGTCGGTATATGGCGTTGTTCTATACTTGACTAATAGTAAAGGTTATTAATGAACGGTTGTTGTTAATAACTGTCCTCGATGAATTGGATATACTCCTCGATTGAGTATTCGAGAGGAGATAAGTTATAGATATAACAATGATCGACTAAAATATATCAACAAGTGGAAAGTAGCAATGCCAAGTCCTTTTTATCTTTGAATTAAATCACATATAACTCGTTCATCTTCGTGTTTAATTTAATTAAATCATTCAACCCAAAAACCCCCTTTATTTACTCCTTTCGTTAAAAAGATAAATTATTCCTTTCCCTGTGGATACGAACTCTACTTCACCTATACTACGTATAAGTGTTAGTATTGAATTTATTTTGAGTGCACTCACGACAAAGTGCACGTCAAATTTGGCGCCGTTGCCGGGGAAAGGCAATTAATTTTCTTTTTATTTTATCTCATAAAAATCAAAAACAAAAAAAACAAAAAAAAAATATAAAAAAAAACTTACTCTTCTATTTTCTGAGCTTACATGAGTTATGAGTGTATGGATACCAACATTTCATCCTTAGAGAGTCAAATTTCCTTCTTGACTTCTCTAATAAATGAATTTATCTTAAACTCAGAAGCTCAAGATGCCAAGACATGCAACATTTGCATGTCTCACAGGCATCTTACGGATTTCTGCCCAAAGCTCCAAGATGAATACCTTGAACAAATTGATGACGTTAGTCACGAAAGGGATGTACCTCACATGATGTATGATCCATTCTCCAACTCTAATATGTCTACGGGGGATATGGTCCGGGCTATTGCTACCAACATGACCACCATGCAAAACAACATGGTGCAATTCCAAAATGAGACCAAGTCTAGCATTTCAAACTTGGAAACTCAAGTGATTCAAATAGCCGGAGCCATAAGTAGGCTTGAAGCAAGGGATTCGGAAAAACTTCCCTCTCAAATAGAATGTGATCCTAAACAGCAAACTTTTGCAATCACATTGACAAATGAGAAGGAAATGCAAAAGGAGATCCAAAATCCAGAAGAAGTAGAAGAAGAAGAAAGGGATGCAGAGCTCCAGCTAGTCAAAGAAGAGGATGAACCAAGTTTCAAGGTCAAATATCTATCCTTGTCATCCTTTGAGGTACCCACAACAATTCTAAAAATTTTGAGGGAAACTCATAAAATTGACAAGGATAATGACATTTTTGAAATCTTCAGCGAAATTGAGGGATCAAAACATTTTTCGTTGACCATGTTTAACGATAATTTCTTTCCCTCACTCCGACCACGTGAATCAATGAAAATCTGGATATTTGATCCTGGAAAGATTTCCAAAGTGAAGAGTCGGAATATTGAGCATTCCTATGAAAATCCTAGGAGTGGAAATGTGAAGAAGGTGAATTATCATGATCCAAGCTTGAAGGATTGAACACAATGATGGCGTCGTGCCGCGATGTTAAATGAGGCGCTTCTTGGGAGGCAACCCAAGCAAGGTTTGTTTTCTTTTTCAGTTTATTTCAGTATGTGTGCGTTTTTAAAAAAAAATGTATCTGGGGGCATACCCGATCGAGTATGTAAATATACTCAGTCGAGTATGGATAAAAAAAAAAGAGGAATCAATTTCAGTACTCGATCGAAACAACAAAGCTTTTTAGAGATGCAAGCATACTCGATCGAGTATATGTCAATACTCGGTCGAGTATGTACAGAAAGACGAAATCAAAGGAAGCCTGCCTCCTATACCCTATCGAGTATCTACCAATACTCGGTCGAGTATCACTGGAAAAGCCATTTTTGCACCCCCTGTCTCCAGCACCCGATCGAGTATAGGGTGATACCCGATCGGGTACCCCTGCGGTTTATACCCATAAAACACCCCAACCCACTTCATCTTCTCCAAAAATCATCCCAAACTTCAAACCCCTTTCCCCCAAACTCCATTTTTCTACCTTCTCTCTACCATATCTCCTTCACTTCTCCACCAAATCACTCATACAACAACCAATACACTCTCCTCACTTTTCTCTACAATCCAATACCCAAAAATCCTCATATTTTTTTTTCCATTCAAAAAAAAAAAAATTGAAACCCTACTCCCTACCCTCAAGTCCGAAACCCAAGACCCAAAAACAACATTCAATGACACATAAGAAGGTGAGGGCCGAAAGTATAAATGCAAAGGGACAATGAGGATGTCCGTTTCAACCCGGGTATAACGAAGACAAGCACTAGGGACAGTGCTTCGAGCTAAGTGAGGGGGAGTCACTCATTGGAACATACTTAATTTTCTACCTTGTAACTTGCATTATTTCCTTCACACAAAAAAAATGAAAAAAAAAATGCTAGTTAGGTTGAAAACCCAAAAACGGGCAATCTAAGCAAAAAGGGCTTTAAAAAAAATGAGTGAGTGGAAAGGATGAAAAGAAAAAAAAAAGAGATGCTAGGATGAAAACCAGAGAAGACTCCTAGGCAAAATGAGAGATATGAGAGAAAATTTGTTTCTGTAGAACATCATTCAATCTCTTTAAACAATGAAAAGAGGAGAAGAAGAAAAAGAGAAGAAAAAAAAGGGCAAGAAGATGGAGCATAGAAGATCACAAAACCCAAGAAAGAATTTTGTTTTTGGAATTGAAACTCATTTTTTTCCTTGGTGATCTTAGTTTCTTCCTTTCTTGAACTCTTGAAAAATTCTCAAACTGTTTGGATGTTTCTAGTTTACTCGAGGTCGAGTAAAGGACTAAGTGTGGGGGAGTTGATACACTTGTAATTTCCGTGTGTATGTTTATGTTTTTAGCTAGTTTTAATTGTTTAATATTTCGTAAATTACACACTTTTGGTGTAATAGTCATGTTTGTAAAATAGTTGTAATATGTTTAGATTAGGTCCATTCTGAGTTTAAACAGGTCCAAGATCAATTCAATGATCATTGGTGAAGGAAGGTGCAAGAGTGCAAGACAAAAAGAAGGCAAAATCCTGATTTTTGACCTATACTCGATCGAGTATAGCATATACTCGATCGAGTATCTTGTTGAGATTTCAAATCGGATCGGATCTGAAAACAAAGGAACATGCAGGGAAGATTTTGACCACGATCGAGTGTCGATACTCGATCGAGTACACCGACATACTCGATCGGGTATGACTATAAATTATACTCTGAATTCGGTCGAGTATGGGTCGAATTCAAGTTTCTACTCATACTCGATCGAGTATATATACATACTCGATCGAGTATGCCTTTAATTTTAAACCTGAAATCGATCGAGTATACCTCGAATTTGCATTTCTACACATACTCGACCGAGTATCTTTATATACTCGATCGAGTACCCGAGCTGCACTCCCAAAAAGCCTATAAATACACCCCCTTTCCTTCACAATAGGGGAACCGATTCCTATATACTCTTAAGCTCAGTTTAGAATAGTATTTCTCTATATTTCTTTTAGCATGTTTAGTCTCCAAATGAGGAGCTAAACTTCCAATTCTTGGTATTGCTCTTGAAGCTTGTTGATTATTAAAGTTGTGAGTTATTTTCTTAACTTCTTTCCTTGAATATTAATTCTTTCTTCAAATACTATTTCTATATCAATGTTGGGGAGTGTTGCTAAGATGACAATTAGTTAACATCTTGACATTAGTTATAGTAATAGTCATTTCTTCCTCTATGTTAATATTGGGGAGTGTTACTAAGATGACAATTAGTTAACATCTTGATATTAACTATAGTAGGATTCATCTTCTTTAATATTCTTCCTTGAGTATTAATTAATTCCTATTCATATTTCATATTAATATTTTGAACATTACTTAAAGGATCAACTAGTTTTGTTTCATATATTAATTACTACTAGATTCGATCAACGAACCAATGGTTAATCGTTGATAGTTTCACAAGTAAGTAACTTCGGTTTATTAATGCACGGTCGTGGTTAATAAACTTAAGAGGGATTAATTTTGTTGGTTAAACCAAAACCGTTGTGTTGAGGTTATCAATCTCAATTGATTTCATCAAGGAGTTAAAAGATTAAATGCTACTACCAAGTCGGTATATGGCGTTGTTCTATACTTGACTAATAGTAAAGGTTATTAATGAACGGTTGTTGTTAATAACTATCCTCGATGAATTGGATATACTCCTCGATTGAGTATTCGAGAGGAGATAAGTTATAGATATAACAATGATCGACTAAAATATATCAACAAGTGGAAAGTAGCAATGCCAAGTCCTTTTTATCTTTGAATTAAATCACATATAACTCGTTCATCTTCGTGTTTAATTTAATTAAATCATTCAACCCAAAAACCCCCTTTATTTACTCCTTTCGTTAAAAAGATAAATTATTCCTTTCCCTGTGGATACGAACTCTACTTCACCTATACTACGTATAAGTGTTAGTATTGAATTTATTTTGAGTGCACTCACGACAAAGTGCACGTCAGCTGTCTAGTAGACTCGATGTCTTTGAACTATACTGCCGTCGTGTAAACATTGACTTATCTTTACACAAGAACCTTCCAACTTTGTTCCGTTCTCATGGGTGTGCCCGTTTTGGCCATGGATCACCGTCCTGGTTCTGCAAGAGTTTCTAAAGAACTCAGCCTTTACAGTTCTCCTTTGAAGCGGCCCTCTTCTCTCTCACATAGGTGATTCTTTCACGAGTATCCCGCTTACTCTTCCAATGTTATCGAGTAGATCAACATTTTAGAATCATTAAACCAAACGTTTTTGCTAACCTCATGCGGGAGTCACTGTTTCAACGAGGACTGGGTAGGAGTCCAGGACCCCCACAGTGACCATCCTTGGTTCTATAATTTAGTTGTCGCATTTGAACCTAGGACTAACTAGGTTGGGTATCCACTATAGAACTTTTCAATTCACGGGCTTTAATTCCATTCCTCGGGACAACTTCTTCAACAATTCTATATCCAATGCCTTGGTTAGCAGATCCGCTATGTTATCCCTGGACTTTACGTAGTCAACAGTGATAACACCTGTTGTGAGAAGTTGTTTAATGGTGTTATGTCTACGACGGACGTGTCTAGACTTACCATTATAGAGATTGCTCTGTGCCCTTCCAATTGCCGCTTGACAATCACAATGTATGCATATTGGAGGGACATGCTTCTCCCAGCTTGGAATATCCTCGAGAAAATGGTGTAGCCATTCAGCCTCTTCAGTGCACTTATCCAAGGCTATTAGCTCAGATTCCATCGTGGATCTAGCTATTAACGTTTGTTTCGAGGATTTCCATGACACGGCTGCACCTCCCAAAGTGAAAACGTATCCACTTGTGGACTTTGAGTCCTTAATGTCAGATATCCAACTAGCGTCGCTATATCCTTCAAGTACGGATGGATATCTTCCATAGTGCAGTCCAAGATTTTGGGTTTTCCGTAAATACCTCAAAACCCTTACTATTGCCTTCCAGTGTTCATCACCGGGGTTGCTAGTATATCTACTAAGCTTACTGACCACAAAGGCAATAGCAGGCCTGGTACAACTCATTAGATACATTAAACTGCCAATAATCCTAGCGTATTCTACTTGAGAAATACACTCTCCACGATTTTTGGTCAGGTGTACGTTTTTATCTAATGGCGTCCTTGCCTCTTGATAATCATCCTTATTAAATTTAGTAAGGATTTTATCAACGTAATGGGATTGGCTTAGCGTCAGACCGTCAGGTCCTCTAATTATTTTAATCCCAAGGATTAAATCGGCCAGCCCCATATCCTTCATGTCAAATTTAGAATTTAACATGCTTTTGGTAGAATTAATCATAAGATTATTGCTACCCACGATGAGTATATCATCCACGTATATACATAAAATGACATAGCCGTCTACCGTGCTCTTCACATAGACGCATTTGTCACTTTCGTTTATTTTAAACCCATTAATTAACATTGCATGATCGAACTTTTCGTGCCACTGTTTAGGGGCTTGTTTCAATCCGTACAATGACTTAATTAATTTACACACTTTCCTTTCTTGGCCAGGAACATGAAAACCTTCGGGTTGTTCCATATAGATTTCTTCGTCTATATCGCCGTTTAGAAAAGCGGTTTTTATGTCCATTTGATGAACTTCCAAATTCCACAAAGCGGCAATTGCTAGTATCATCCTAATAGAATTTATTCTCGTCACAGGATAATATGTGTCAAAGTAATCGTGGCCCTCGCGTTGCTTGTATCCCTTGATTACAAGTCTGGCCTTATACTTGTCAATGGAACCGTTCGGTTTCATTTTACGTTTAAAAATCCACTTGGATCCCAAAGGTTTACATTCCGGAGGGAGATCAACCAATTCCCATGTGTGATTTTTTAGGATAGAGTCCACCTCACTTTTGATGGCTTCTTTCCACATCGGTCCTTCGGTAGACGTTACGGCTTCCGTATAAGTCCGTGGCTCATTTTCTATCAAACAAGTTAGAAAATCCGGTTCATTTTCTACCATACAAGTTAGAATATTCGAATCGAATTCTAACAAGTATGTGAGAAAATCTGATCCGAAGGATTTTTCAACTCTAGCACGTTTGCTACGTCAGGGTTCGGCTTCTTCACCGGATCCCTCGCTAGTATTTTCCATAGCTACGTCAAATGTTCGTTTTGACGTGCTAGGTCCATCGTTGGACTTGCATGGAAATACGTCTTCAAAGAATGATGCATTCCTTGACTCAATTATTGTGTTTTTATGTACATCCGGATTATTCGAATCGTACACTAAAAACCACCGTTTTTAGTGCATATCCAATAAAAATACAATTCACCGTTTTTGGACCTATTTTTATTTTCTTTGGTGTCGGTACAAGCACCTTAGCAAGACACCCCCACACTTTCAAATATTGATAAGAAGGTCGTCTACCTTTCCACAACTCGTACGGAGTTTTATCATATTTTTTCCGGGGAACCTTATTTAAAAGGCAATTGCTTGTTAAGATTGCTTCGCCCCACATATTTTGTGGCAGGCCCGAACTTACTCGCACCGCATTCATCATATCTTTCAATGTGCGATTCTTTCGTTCGGCAACACCGTTTGATTGAGGTGAATAGGGTGCGGTACGTTCGTGTACTATGCCCGCACTAGCGCAAAAGTCACCTATAGGTGCTTCATACTCACCACCTCGATCACTTCTAACCGTTTTAATCCGTCGATTAAGTTGGTTTTCCACTTCATTCTTATAAAGAATGAATTTATCGATTGCTTTGTGTTTATTTTTCAACAAATAAACATAGATATAGCGAGTGCTATCATCGATAAAAGTAATAAAATATTTATTACCGCCACATGTTTGTATTGATTTAAAATCACAAACGTCACTATGAATTAATTCTAGTGGTTCCGTTTTTCTTTCAACCGATTTGAAAGACGTTTTCATTAGTTTTGCCTCGATACAGACATCACATTTGTGCTTCACATCAATTGTGAATTTAGGAATGTGTTTCATGTTAATTAATCTACGTATAGAATTAAAATTAACATGTCCTAGTCTACCATGCCACACATTGGAAGACTCAAGCAAGTAAGCAGAAGGGATTTTATTATTATTAATAATAATAGTCGTTACATTGAGCTTAAACAGCCCATCAACTGCATACCCCTTCCCCACATACATTCCCGATTTAGACAAAACTAGTTTGTCCGACTCAAAGACCATACGAAAGCCATGCTTGTTCAACAACGAACCGGAAATCAGGTTTTTGCGTATCTCCGGAACGAACAGCACTTGGTTAAGAGTCAGCTCCTTGCCCGAAGTCATCTTCAGGACCACCTTGCCCACGCCTTCCGCCGCGGAATGAGCCGAGTTTCCCATCCACACCTTCTCACCATTTGATGGCTCAAAAGTTGTGAATAACTCCCGATTTGAGCAAATATGCCGGGTAGCACTGGTGTCCACAAACCACTCCTTGGAATTGGATCCAACGAGGTTGACTTCCGTAACCACAGCCGCAAGGATGATGTCTTCATCCTTTTGCCCACCTTGCACCATGTTGACTTGAGAGTCTTTCTTCTTCTTTGGTGCCTTGCAATCCGAGGACTTGTTGTCCATTTTTGTTGCAATTGAAGAATTTTCCATTAAACTTGGGTTTGGAAACGCCTCCTTTGGGACCGAGCTTGCTCTTCCCATTGCCTTTATTTTTGGAGCCTTTTGCATGCTCCACCACGTTGGCCTTGACGCCCGTGAACAATTGGGAGTTTCCCATCGTTCTTCCGGTTATCCTCTTCAATCCGCAGACGGAGGATCAATTGCTCCAAGTTCATTTCCTTTCGCTTATGCTTAAGGTAGTTCTTGAAATCCTTCCAAGCCGGCGGCAATAAATGAATAATAGACGCCACTTGGAACGACTCACTAACTGTCATTCCTTCATCTCGAATTTCGTTGAAGATCATTTGCATCTCCTCAACTTGACTCAAGACCGTCTTCGAATCCACCATTTTAAAATCAAGGAATCGACCAACAACAAATTTCTTTGCGCCGGCATCCTCGCTTTTATATTTGTGGTCCAAAGCATTCCATAGCTCCTTAGCTGTAGCTAATTTGCTATACACATCGTACAAAGCATCGTGCAGCCCGTTCAACACATAGTTTCGGCAAAGGGAGTCAGAATGCTTCCAAGCTTCAACCGCGTTGAAAGATTGCACATCCACCTCACCCCCGGTTACAACCGGCGCGTCCTCGGTCAAGAAACGTGCAAGACTGAGAGTAGTGAGGTAGAAGAGCATCTTTTGCTGCCACCTCTTGAAGTTTAACCCATTAATTTTTTCGGGTTTCTCCACAGAGTTGCTCGGCACGGTTACCATGGGGATAGGCCTTTGGTTAACCAAAGCAGATGCACCGCGTTGTGAACTATTGTTCACCGGAGCTCCGCTTTCAGAGTGATTATCGTTCAAACCGTTCAAAGCATTCTGCCCAACAACATTTTCATTTTCTTGAGAAGTCATTTTTTCGTTTCTTACGATCTTCGGAAACACAAAAACAAGTTCGTTCACCAAGGTGACAAACTACAAGTGTAAGATTGTTTACCGTAGTAGAACAATCACTGAATACGTTTTAAGATTGTTGGGTGTGTTTCGAAAAACTAAGAAAATAATTAATAAAATTAATTAAATAAAATGACTTAAAGGAAAAACGAGAAATGAGATGAAGCAGAATAAGCCAAAGCTCGTGCCACGCACGATTTCCTTAAAACATATTTGTTGCCTCCCGGGGTGCTAGGAGCGTTGCAACGATCGTTTCCCAGGATACGATGACTTCGAACAATAGTTTAGCACTCAAACTAAAGTTATAACGAACGAGAACAAAGCTTAGAACACAATAGTTGCAAACAATCTTGAAGAAAGATATTATTTCTCGAGTTTTGGAAAATCCAAAAATGGCAAACTTTTAATATCATTGTTAGAAAAATGATATTAAAAGTGAGAGTTTAACCAGATAAAAATCCCGAGTTTAAACAAATCACCAGACAAACCGCCAAATGCAAGAAAAGAAAACAATAATATAATAATTAGAATAAACAAAATTGAATAAATAGAAATGATAAGAAAACTTATCGCAGGATCGCCCGTTAAAACGGACTAGCCTTGAAGAAAGATAGCCCCCGTATCCCGATAGTTATTTGGACGGGCCTGGCTAGCTCGCTCCCAGGATAATCCTACCACGTTTCAGACTTGTAGCTACCTTGACTGAAACCTTCGACCGTTGCCAAATTTGCCAATTGATAATGTTAACTCAATGGAAGAACTAGCTAGAGACAAAGATGATCTCCCAGAAGAAAAGCAAAGTTTTTCAAGAAGAAAAAATCATTCCTATCTTTTCCCTTTGTGCGTGCAAACTAAATAGGTAGTGGGTGGAATCACTAGACTCTTGCTTCCTTACGTACTAAAGAAAAGAAAGTAACGTAAGAGTCATGCAGTATGTGTTCTCTTTATTGTACTATACGTAAACGAGTAAAGAAGCAGTCCGGGGATAGTTTTGAAACGGAAATCAAATGCATTAAGTCTTGAGAGTTAATGGCAAAACGAAACTGATCCACATTAAGGATTCCATCAATAGCATTAAAGACAATTATTTGAATTTGAATTTAATTTCATAACCCAATCAGCTATTGCATTGTTCACACAATTAGAGAGTCTCTAAAATTACGACATTTAATTCTATCACTTATAATTTGTCCGATCATGTGCACATATAAGTGAAAAAATTAAAATGTCACTCCATCTTATATGATACTTGAACAACGTTCCTTATCACATAATGATTATAAATAATCTTATGAGACTGTTTATCCTCTAATACAGAACAAATAAATTCATTATTTTAATGCATCACTTTATATTCTTTACAACTATGGATTCTAATTTAAATCCAAATATGTAAATTATTCTTTGATGTATTATCAGCCTCCTCTCCATATTTAATACAATTATATCTTAGGACACAATAATGTGACCCAAAAAAAATGTTTATATTATCATATTTCCAACAATCCCCCACAAATCCATAGTTGTAGACTCAACTCTAATACACATAGTGTGCTTTCGAAAATGATATTAAAAGTGAGAGTTTAACCAGATAAAATGATATTAAAAGTGAGAGTTTAACCATTTTTGGAAAATCCAAAAATGGCAAACTTGGAAAATGCTGTTTTAGAACAGACACAAGGGAATTTGTATGTCTTTCTCAGCGTACATTACGAACCTACGGTAAACTCATCAGACTGATAATCCTGATTCTGTTTTTAGCCATTTTCAAACTAAATCAGACCAGTGTAGGTCTTATATTCCCAAAACCCTAACTAGTGGTACTGAATAAATGCCAGGCTAGCAAGTAGCAACTAAAAAATCCATAATTTCGAAACAATAATTTGAAGCATTGTTTAAATAGGACCACACTGGTAAGCAAAAATAAAAGTTGTCAATTTGTCATAAAAACTAGCTAAAGTAATAAGCTCCATCTGGCCTGTTACATTTGTTAACTGAGCATTCTCAGCCTTCTAAGCAGGGCGGGGTCACTTCTTACTGCATTCCATCTTGAAGAAACTCAATGCCCTGTAATAAAAAACTACGTTGGCTGTAGCATGCTTCTTGAGGGCTTCGATTTTACCCAGACTTGAATTTCTCAAAAAAACATCACAGAAAAAGCCTGGACTAATGGCGCAAGGGAAATGGCATCTTCCTTGGCCTTTGTAACATCCCCTATCTATTGCACCCTTCCAAGGCATCCCTTCCATTTTATTATTGAGTTGCACCCTATGTTTACTCTCACTTTGATACCTTCTTTTGAATCTCTCTTAACCAATAATATGACCATTTTGACTTATATGGAGTGACCCCAAATGAGCTGTCCGCTGCCTCCTCCTTTGTCTTTGCTTCACCCGTGAGTGTCCTTTAGTGTTGGTCAGTCCATTATTTAGAAGCTCTCTTCTTCCTTGTCAGAGTGTCCTGCGTGTGAGAAACTAAAGAGAGCAGACCCTTTTTCCTTTGTGAGAGAGAAGTAAAACCAGAGAGTTGAGAGCTGAGTGTTCTCCACCTTCCTTGAGGCCCTTTGTGTGGAAGCTTGGGAGTGTAAACATGTTGAGTGATGGAATGAGTCTAGCCTAAAGTGGTGTGTGTGAGATATTGGGAAGGTTGGAGACCTGAGCCGGAAAGAATCGATCCTCAACAGTGGTATCAGAGTCTGGTTGTCGTCTGCCACCTTACTCCGCCGCCGTCCGACGCCGTCCGCGCCGTTTCGAGGTCTAGGAGGTCTCCAGTTCGTACGCCCGTTGATTTGTAGTCTGAGAAGCCGTTGTTGGTGCTTCTGCGCCCCAAATTCGTCCGTCAGAAGTCGCTTGTGGAGCTGGTCCGTCGCTGGAGTTACTCGTCGTTAAAGTCTCTATTCGGTCGTTGCTTTGGATTCGCCGTCGAATCCGCTGCTGATTCTCTGTCCGATGTCGCTGGAGGTCACCGCTGCGGGAAGAGCGTTCGTCGAGACTGAGACTTGCAGCCTCAATTTTGAGCGCAGAAGACAGAGCGTGTTGATGATTCTTGGACCCGGACGCCAGACTTGAGGGCACGAAGAATAACGCAGGGATAGGGGCTGGACTTCGATTGAACTTGGGCCATTTTTTGGGCTGCTCGCTGGACCTGAAGGAAGCCTGACGCCTGTGACAAAAACGTGGAGCAGCAGTAAATCCGGAGCAGGAGCTGTTGTTGGGCTTGAAGATTTGGGCTAGACTGCTGGATTTGGACTGGACCTGGAAGCTGGAGACTTGGAGGCTAGACACTGCTGCTTCATTGGAGGCCATTGGCAGGAAGCTGGAAGCAGGTCAAACTCAGTCAAAGCTTGGTCAACGCCAGTCAACAGTCTGAAAAAAATCCCAATTTTAAATGGGTGGGTAAGGTCCAAACACTCTCCTAGTGTTTGGCTATTGTAAGTCTTCTTTATCCGAAATTTCAATTTCTGCTTTCCAATTATTCTAAATTGTTAGAATTTGTTGTTGATTTAATATTTGCTAGAATTATATTTATTTGTGCTTGTACGGAAGAATAAGGGGTTTGAACGGAGTCTTGGGCTCATTGTTATTCCCGTCTTATTCGCGCTAGTTGCTCCGTGCAATTATAGCCCTATAAATATTGAACCGGTTTTCTAGCTAAAGTTGCATTTTATATTTTCTTGTTTAGTTTTTCTGTGTGAAAATGTCTGCTTTTAATCAGTATGGTATGGATCCATTTAATGGAAAAACTGATTTTAGCATATGGATCAGAAAATAAAGTGCATATTAATTCAACAAAAATCATATCGGGCCATTAGTGAAACCTATTTGACTTCCGATACGGAAGAGAAAAAAGCAGAAATGAATGAAAATGCTTGTTCTACAATTTACTTGAACTTATCTGATTGTGTGCTCAGAAAAGTAGGAATTTTAGAATCAGCTAAATATGTGTGGGATAAACTTGAAGAGCTTTATAACGTAACCTCTTTGCCTAACCGGATATTTTTACTTGAAAAGTTCTTCAAATTTAGACTGGATATGTCTATAGATATTGAAGAAAATCTAGATGTTTTTACCAAACTTATTTCGGATATTAAGTTGTGTGGTGATAAGCATATAGATGATTATTCCCCTATTGCTTCTTTAAAATGTTATTCCTGATTCCTTTGGTGATGTGAAATCTGCTATTAAGTATGGTAGAGATAATGTGACTCTTGACATTGTGGTAAATGGTCTTAAGAGTAAGGAATTAGATTTAAAACAGATAGGTGAGGGTAGAAAATCCGAGGAAGTTATGCATGTAAGGGGTAGAGAAAATAATAGTAGACGACATAGATCTAAGTCTAGGTCTAATTCGAGGCGTTGCTATTATTGTCACGAATCTGGTCATTTCATAAGAGACTGTCCTAAATCTAGGAAAAATGAGCATAGTGAGCATGCTAATTTGACTACGTGTGTAGATGATTTAGGTGATGTTTTTATGATGAAAAATCTATGTGATTATGACTATTTGAGTTCTGTGATATCTGAGTCTTTGGGTAAATCAGATTGGGTGGTAGATTCTAGTTGTACTTTTCATATGTCCCCTTTGAAAAATGTTTTTTTCAAACTATAGAGAGATTGAGCATGGCTTTGTGTCTTTAGCAAATGAGAAGAAATGCAATGTGCTAGGAATATGAGATGTGTGCCTTAGGTTCTCTTCTGGTTATGTGCTTACTTTGAAGAATGTTAGGCATGTTCCTGAGCTGTATTGTAATTTGCTATCGTGTGCTTCTCTTGAAAATGAGGGTTTGAAGGGAAAATGGGGAAATGGAATCATGAAAGTTGTGAAGGGTTATTTAGTTATTTTCAAAGCTGAGATGAAAAACAACTTGTATGTTTGTCATGCTAAACCCCTACTTGATTCTGTGAATTTTGTGCAACCCTGTGTGCTAGGAAAACAGTCTAAAGTTAGTTTTCCTGATCTGCCTAAGTGTACTAATGTGCTTGATTGTATTCATGCTGACTTGTGGGGTCCTTATGGTGTTTCCACTCATGGTGGGAAAAATTATTTTCTGACGTTGATTGATGATTTTTCAAAGAAAGTGTGGGTTTTGTTGATTGAGAATAAATCTGAAGTTTTTGATAAGTTTAAAAACTAGAAAACCCTTGTTGAAAAACAAACCGGTAAGAAAATAAATTTTTTAACTACCACTGTCAGTTTTGATTTCTGTGATGATCAGCTTGGTGATTTATGTGATACTTGGGGTATTTCTATGCATAAATTTGTTCCCTCCACACCCCAACCGGATGGGGTTGCTGAGAGGATGGTTAGAACTTCATTAGAGAGGGTGAGGGCTATGTTAGCTTCATCTGGGCTCTCTAATAAGTTCTGGGGGGGGGGGGGAAGCTATTTGTTATGCTGTTGGTGTGGTTAATCTGTCCCCGTCTGTTCCCTTAGGAGGGAAATGCCCTGAATCTGTGTTCACGGGCAAACCACTTAACTTGCCAAATTTAAAAGTGTTTGGTTGTGTTGCTTATGTGAATCGTGTGAATGATAAATTTGAACCTAGGACTAAGGAATATGTTTTCTTAGGATATCATGGATGCATGAAAGGTTATAGGCTTTGGTGTAGGAGTGAAACTTGCTTCAATGTGTTAATGAGTAGAAATGTCATTTTTGTTGAAAATGAATTTCCTTGCCTGCTTGTTTCTCCTGATGTTGCTCCAAATGAGGTGGAGCATTTGCCTGTTGAAGTTCATTCCTATTTACTTGTTGAAACCAAACCCAAATTTGTGAATGAAAATATTTTTCATGGTGAAAATAGAGAAAATAATATTTCTATTAAGTTGGAGCATGATATGAATGTTGTGTGCAATATGCTTGAGTTGCGTGATTGCCATGTTATTAGAGATAGAGACATTAGGAAACATGTGAGAAATGATATGTGCAAAGTGTTTGACTATATTCCCTCTGAGTTTGCTTTAAATGTGCTTAATTCTCTTTTAATTAAATTCTTTGTGATGTTTGGTATGCTATTTTCTTTGTGTTTTGAAAATGTGGTACCAAATGATTATGTGAGCTCTGCCTGTGCTAGTTGTAGAAATAATATTATTTCTTGTATTTTCTTTGTACTTGTTATGTGTGGTTGTTGGATTAGTTGGGATCTCCAACTTCTCCCGGATGCTTGCTTGCGTGGGCTATTAACATACCTTGTGTTTGTTAATAGCATCGTGATGGTTTCGGTTTTGAACTCGAGGACCTTATGGTAGAGTTAAGTCCTTTATGGACTCGGTAAGCTTGGTGATTTTACCCCGAGAGTACTTGTGTCTCTCTATTACTTGTATTGTCTTTGTGATTATACTTGTAATGATCCGGCAATGATGAGTCCGCAGTTCCGTGATTGTCTAAGTGCACTACCTTGGGCCAAAGGTGGAGATTGTTAATATATTGTTGACCCAAACGTTTTTTGTATATTAATAATGGTCAACACACTTTCTAGCAGTCCACTACACTGTACCCTTTTATCTATCTGGTCTATCAGTATTTTCCCCTCCCGTTAGAAAATAAATCAGCTCTTTGTTGAGCTAATGGTGAGCTGTGTGTGCAGTGTATTATTTGAGTGTCCTTCTAATAAGACCAAAAATCCTATGCTATAAGGACAGTCCCTCCACCCATGCTTGTGTGTGTGGAGCGTATGACAGATACTTCACCCAAAACCAGTCTTCTTCCTCCTTGAGTTTCCTTTGTGTGAGAACTTGACAGTGAGTAGAAGTGAGGTGTTGGCGAGGCTAGAAAGGTGTGTTGCTCCCTTAACCTAGGTGTGCACAAGAGACAACCGGAAAACCGACGTCCGGACTGCCTGAGCCGGAATCCGGCGACGGAATCGATCCTCAACAAATAATATAATGTTCTGTATAAATAATTATTTTGAAATGTATACAATACATATGGCAATTCTAAATGTTATAACAGTACTTCTTTATTTATATATGCGTGAAAATGAGCTATTCTTTTGTTCTCATAGAATTGACATTCATATATAGTATTATAAAATGTTTTTCGTTGTACGATTATACAAATGTCATTTTATGGTTTATACATGAAGTTGTCATTGTTAAAGTTTTGAGTTATTATTTTGGATTTCAATATTTTTGTTTTAATTAATACATGTTCTTTATTTCGTCCGTGCATCGCACGTGTGAGAATACTAGTTATTTCTATGGGAGAAGCTAATATGAGGTGTGTGACTCCAATGTAAACTGAGAGCATGTGATTACAATACTCGGTAACATTTATTCTATGTTGTAACATGGTGAAAAGAGGATCCAATGTACTATAAGAAAGTGTACACACCAAGTGGAGGATAGATCCAATTTAGGGAAAACTATCAAATAAGCCCCCGTACTATATCAAAAAAGTCGATTAGGCCCTCGGAGTTTACAAACACTCAATTAAGTCCTCGAACTATTAAAAAACGTTCAATTGAGCCCTTTCGGTCGGTAAGTAACCGGTTTCCCGGTTAAATGTAACCCGTTTCCCGGCAGCCGCCGTTGCTGGGGTTCGAGCACATCATCGCCGTCGTCGCCGTTTAACCGGGACTTTTCGGTATAGTACGGGGACTTATTTGATAGTTTTCCCTCCAATTTATTACGATTGGATACACCAAGTGGAGAATAGCATCAATGTGTTAGGAAAGGACACAGAAAATAGTATCCAATATGCTATATATAAAAAAAAAAAAAAAAGAAAGAAAGAAAGGACACATATAATGGAGAATAGTATCCAATATGCTAGGAAAAGACACACATGGCGGAGAAGAGAATCAATGTGATATTATGAATAGACACATCAAGTGGAGAAGATAATTCAATGTTGTATGGATTGACACACAATTGAGAAGAGAATCCGATGCTCCAATGTGCTTGAACTCAATTCATTATTTGTTAACCGAAAAACATAATTTTTTTTACATCAAAATATGTATTTTTTATTTCTTAATTATTCAAGGAAAAAATTAAAAGTAAAACATTACTTATAATAATTTAATTAATGTTTTACAAAATTGGTACGTAAAAAATATGACGAATATATTTTATAATAGACTCTCGAGTCTTAACCGCTACAAATGTTCCGGGGGCCTTGGCTTGCTTGAGCTCCAATTCGGAAAGGTAGTTTCAAGTAACCAGAACTTTAACTTGGTAAACGGGTACTGAGTTACTAGGAACCGGATTAAACTGGATAATCCTGATTCTATTTTTAGCCATTTTTAAAATAAATCAAACCAGTGCAGGTCTTATATTTCCCAAAGCCTAACCAGTGGTACTGAATCAATGCCAGTGCCTCTAAAACGGTTAGTAGGCTAGCTACTAGCAAGTAGCAACTGAAAAATGTATAATGTCAAAAACAATAGTTTAAAGCATTGTTTAAATAGGAGCACACTGGTAAGCAGAAATATAAGTTGTCATAAAACTAGCTAAAGTAATAAGTTCCATCTGGCCTATTACATTTGTTAACTGAGCATTCTCAGCCTTCTAAGCAGGGCGGCGTCGCTTCTTACTGGATTCCATCTTGAAGAAACTCATTGCCCTGTTATAAAGAACTATGTTGGCTGTAGCATGCTTCTTGAGGGCTTTGATTTTACCCAGACTTGAATTTCTCAAGAAAACATCACAGAAAGCCTGAACTAATGGCGCAAGGGCAATGGCATCCTCCTTGGCCTTTGTAACATCCCCCATCTCTGACTCAGTAAGAGCTTCTGCTTCATAAGCGCCTCTATGCATATGGTACTTCCAAGGATCATTCAAGATCTTTTCTGCAACACTGGACAAGTTAGTGTAATCATAAGGAGTGTGTTTTTTGACCTCATACAAGTAGCCAAAAGATTTAAGTTCTTTGATGAGAGCATGCACTGAAGTGATGACCGCTTGACCGCTCGGAGAGGCTTTAACACGGGTTCTGAAGGCAGATGGTATTCTCTGGTTACCAGGATCAGCTCTTAGCACTTGCATAGGCCTTTTCACACCAATCCAGCGAAAAGCATGATAAAACAAGATGTCTTCAGGAAGCAAATAGCTTAAGATATTACCCATTTTGGAAGATATAGCAAATTGTTTAGCTTTGGCACCGAAATCAGCAGCAGTACTATCACAATAATGTGATCCAAATGACCGAAAGTAGAACTCATTCATAAAAGGAACAAAAGAGGAAAGTTGCCACGCCTGCTCGTCTAAACCTTTCATCTCCTCCCTGTCCTTAACGAATGTCGCTTTACAGTCAGGTGGAGCAACAACATACTTAGTGTGGCTCTGGGAGTCAAACCATCCGGCTTTGAACATTGAGACCCTAAGAACAGCCCATTTTATAGCCTCATTTTCATCATTCTTATACTTAATGTATTGAGCCTTAGCTAAAGCATAGATAGCAGCAATCAAATCATCAGCGTCTTCCATGAAGAATTCGATACCTTTTCCAACATTCTGAATAGGACATTCAGGAATATCCATATGAGCAGGCAAAATCATATAGAAATCCCGACTTACCTGGCCGAGGGCGTTCTCTTCCGCATCATAGAATGGCTTGCTGTTGATCTCACAAATAATATCCCAAGCTTCGAGCAAGTCTTCGTCAGTATAGGAATCAGGGATTGGGTTATTGGAGTCTCGGACATTGCCACTCTCATGTAGCTTTTTATCATCATCGTCAGGTTTCCTGCCCAATTCATGCAAAAACCATCCTTGGTTCCTTTTCCTAGACGTCTGAGCATCCTGTTGTTGACCACTCATGTTATTCTAATTTGTACTGTGTATAAGTTATGGAGATGAAGATGATTCACTGTTGGAGGTTCTAGGACAGTTTGTGAAGGAATCAGTTCAATGTATAAACATATTTATACAAGTGGAACTAAGAAGTAGTGTGCAGGAAATGTGAGAACGGATTGGATGAAGAGATTATCATTATAAATTACTTTTAGGCGGCGTAATGATTTCTTATTCCATATTTCCATGCCCTTTATTGTTCCAATGTAGAAAACATATACTCCGTAACAAAGTTATTTAATACCTTGGGTGTTTTTTTATCTTCTCAAGAAACAGAACTATGGAATGGAAGGGATAACAAGTGGCAGCTCATAAGAAAATGAAAAGGCATTTCATTATTCCGTAGAGTTTTTTGTCACTTAATTCTTTGACTGTAATGTTAAAAATAATTATTTTGAATTTTTCACTTTTAATGTTGTGACGGCTCACTAAACTCATGGTCAAAGTAATATCAACTATTTTCTAGTAATATTTCTCCAATTCTACTTAAATAGGCAATGCCATTTTTATTACGTATTGTACCTATGCATTTAAATCCGTAAATCTGAAAAAAATATGAAAAAAATTATTCTGTACATTTTAAATTGTTGAAGATTGTGGTGCAAATGTTAAATAACTCTTTATTTCTATCATTAAATAACTATATAAGACACATATTATATGCCGTATTTTTAAATTGTGAAACGTTTAAAACGCGTCCGTATCTTTATATATTTCACGAACGTATGAAACATATATTAAGCCGTATTTTATATAATTGTATCGTATTATACACGAACGTACGTATTATTATACTAGCAATTAATCGCGCAAGGCGCGAAAGCTTTTGCCCAATATCAAATAAAATTCATTTTTTGTAATAACTTTATATGTGACATTGTTGTAAGATACGTAGTATAACAATTCTCATCAGCGTAGTGGTGTGTTCTAAGGGGTGGACAGTGGAGTGGGCACATTTGGTTAACCGCACTTTGGTTAATCAAGAATCAGTTAATAAAGATTCTGGTTACTACACTTTGTGTAAAATTATTCTTACCAAAACATCAGTTAATTAAATGAACATTGATTAACCAAAATTTTAGTTAACCTTGATTATAAATCACGATAAACTTGTCAACTTGAATTATTAAACACTTGATTCAAAAACAAAAAAGCTCAGGATAACAATTAAAATAGGAGTACTTGATTTAGCATTTGAGCAACCATAACACGTTTAGTTTAGAAGACAACCAAACTATTCCAATGAACAGGCCTTTAGTTTAGTTATGGTATAAGGTGAGCTGCATAACACGTTTAGGGAGTGTTTGCAACTGCTTCTGCTTAAATAAAAGCACTTTTGGAGATGTAAGGAAAAAGTGATTAGTAGGAAAAGTTGATAGTGTTTGAGAAAAAAGTGATTTTGAAAAGTAAAAGTTGATAGTGTTTGGTAAAATAAGTGCTTTTTGTGTAATAGAAAGGGGAAAAGCACTTTTCACACGCAAGCCGAGAAAAAGTAAAAATTGGTAGTGTTTGGTAAATAAGTGCTTTTTAAAGCCAAAAGCTGAGAAGTGCTTTTTTTTAAGTGATTGCAAACACTCCCTTAGTTTAGAAGACACTTTGTGAGCTGCTAGAATGATAAGTAAAGATATGTGATGGTCTAGTGGAATACAGATGTAATCAAACTAAGCATCGACTTGTGCTACAAGAAATTGAATGGATCGATGTGCAGGGAGTCAGAGACCGGTCATTATAAGAATATAAAGCTACTCCGTATAATAATAACTTCAATTGACTTAACGGAGGTAGAAGAATAGACGGTGGTAAGGCTAAAGAAGCCAAATAAAAAATTAGAGTTCAACTTTTTAATAACAATGTACAACATCTTATTGCACAAGTGTATTGCCATAAATCAAGGGTACCAACCTCTATTTATAATTATAATTTTGTTAGATTATTCACGTACCGTATATTACTAGCAAAGATGTGATTAATGTTAAAAATAATTATTTTGAATTTTTCACTTTTAATCCTCCTGAAAGCTGATTTTGTTAGCCGGCTTTGATCAGTGGAATGATTTACAGTGATAGAGTATTTATTTCTAGAGAGAAGTGAGAGCTAGAGAGAGAAAGTGAGCAATTAATATTTCTCAACCCCTATAACTACCCCCTAGGGGGCTATTTATAATTAAAAATGTGGATTTGGGCTCCTAGTTTTGGGCTTAGGAGACCCATTACAAAAATCATGTCTTCTTTGGGCGGAATAGGGCCACTAATGGGCTGAGTACAACACTTAGTAAAAAAGATAGGAAAGTACATTCTGCCAGGATAACTCCTGGCCAATGTGGTGCCTTCTGGCCAATGCGGCCCACTTGGCCTCCTCAGGCCGTGTCCTGGATTGATTCGGTTAAAGCCGTTGCGGGACCCACTATTGGGTGTGTTTCGAAAAACTAAGAAAATCATTAATAAATTTAATTAAATAAAATGACTTAAAGGAAAAACGAGAAATGAGATGAAGCAAAATAAGCCAAAGCTCGTGCCACACACGATTTCCTTAAAACGTATTCGTTGCCTCCCGGGGTGCTAGGAGCGTTGCAACGATCGTTTCCCAGGATACGATGACTTCGAACAATAGTTTAGCACTCAAACTAAAGTTCCAACGAACGAGAACAAAGCTTAGAACACAGAAGGAATTTCGGAAACTGGAGGTGTTTTTCTGGAGCTCAAACTGTGTGAGTACGTTTGTGAGTGGTGTTTGTTGCAAATCGCCTGCTGTGGAGCCAACTGCTCGAAAGTCGGGCTTTTTGTTCTCCGGTTTCGGAATTTGATTCGCACCCCCTGCGCGCGTGGAGAGAGCCTTTACCCTAAGGAATCTTAACTCCTTAAGGGGGTTTCCCTTTATAAAGGGTTCAAATTCCCTTGGGTTTTCCGGTGTGGGAAAACCACACTAGAAACCCATCATTTTCCTAGTTTTCTCCATTCCAACGAGTGAACTTCAAGAATCAATTTCTCATTCACCCGTTATCCGTTTTGAGCGTACCATATATCGAATTGTAGCCCTAAGCAAGGACAATCCGAAACCACTTTGACCCGACCCAAATCAGAAGTGGACCCCACTCAAAAAATTGCCCTAAAATGACCATTTAATGCAATTTCCAACACATTTTTCCAACACATACTTCGTATAGTATATAAGAGAAAATTTTCTACTACGTATTATAAGTTGCACATCTTGAATGAATTTGTGTCTTGGCATGTTAATTTGCTTTCCAATTTTCCACGCACAAACAAACTCAAACGAGACAGCTCTGACCGGCACGCGATGACGACACTTCTTATTTGGTAGTTCTACTTCGCTATCCATTGAAATCTTTAGACTAAAAACATGTTAATCTTTATATTAAATGTATGTTTATCTTGACCATAAAAAGTGTATGTTTATCTCGGTCCCTTTCATTGAAAATTATTCTGAGTATGCTATTCATAAGTAACAACTATATATCATAGTTAAAACTATACGAAGACATACATGCCAAAAATGAAATTTAACGTTCTACTAATTCTAGTTACCATTTTTGGTAACTGAAAATTATTACTCCGTACAATCTAAGTAGTAGCTGATTAACATGTGCCAAAATGGGTCACACTATAAATGAGGTAAGCCCCGCTGATTAATGCGACGAGCGACGGCCAAAACACGAGAATAGGCTTCGCATTGCATTCTTGAATGTCGCTCCTCGGTTCGGGATCACACGGGGCGTTGCCGCGGAGGAGCCACCCCGCTGCGGTGACCGAAAGCCTCCAGTAATGCAAGTCCTCATTTTGATTTAGGAAATTTCAAATTGATGAATAAACGGGAAGTGCAAGTGGACTATTGCATGTGATAGATGGTGGTGATACTGGTGACCAAAAGGCCACCGGCTAATTGGCGTTTATATAATTGGTACAAAACCGAGTGAAGTACAATGAGTATCAGCGTTATTTTATTCTTTTGAATGAGTCTTTAGAGAAAGGGTCCATGGTACGGAACTGATGGGTCTATGTGTTTCTCTATTTTGAGCATTGTAACAAACACGTGAACTCTAATTAAACAACTACTCATTGTGCTAGAAGTTTATACTTTGGATACCCCAAATTTACATCTTTATGATTTCAAATTTAAAATTAAGATGTTAAGTGTGAAATATGATCTAACTTAAACAATTAAGATGGTTCTCACTTGTATGAATGTACTGTTGTAATGTGCACTTCCAGCTCAGGTCTCGTCCAAGATTTCACCCACAAAGGATGAAAGAACACCACTAGATCACAAGGTGAGGTTGTGGGCAACAACCAACAAGCTTCTTCCGGCCAAATCGTTCAAGCACCACGGAGGAGCAAAAAAGGTGCGATTTTAGGAGGAAGTGTTTTCCACCAGACCAACCCATCATCAGAGAAGAGAGCAAATTAAATAGGTGAGCAAATATCCATAGATGGTAACTTACCTTCAATTAAGAATCAAAGGAAGGAAAGCGTATCAAGAATCGAGGAAGGAAAAACTCACGCACGAACGGAAGAAGGCAGCGGTCCGAAAGAAAGGGAATAAAGATGGGTCGGGTACTTCAATGAATTTGGGCTTATGGATAAAAGAAGCTGGGCCAATACCTTAACACATTCTCCACCTTATTGGACCCTAGTGATGTAGAGCATAACGCTCTAAAACAATATGAGACTCATCATCGCTGGATTGCCCGAATAATCACAAAGACATATTCAGGCAAAAAAAAAGGGGTAAGATCACCAGGCAACTTATCCGCAATCAATGTTTAACGTGCGCTTGCACGACAACAACTTTTCGACCGAGAGACATTTAGTCCCCATGTCAGCAGGATTAAATTCCGAAGGAATTTTAATCAACTTGATATGACCTGCACTCACAAATCACAATATCACATATAAAATGAAATCTAACATCAATGTGCTTAGTTCTATCATGAAAAACAGGGTTTTTACATAATTGAATAGCAGATTGACTATCAGAAAACACACAAATGTCCTGCTTAAGACTACCAATCTCCGTTAGGAGACGTTTAAGCCAAATGGCTTCCTTAAACGCTTTGGTAGCGGCCACATACTCCGACTCAGTGGTGGATAGGGCAACTATGGGTTGAAGTTGAGATTTCCAACTAATGCACGACCCACAAAGAGTAAACACATAAGAGGTAGTGGATTTCCTATTGTCTCTATCATTAGCAAAATTAGAATCCACATACCCACTCAACTTAACCCCCTCAGAACACCTAGTGAAAACCAACCCATGATTAACAGAAGATTTCAAATACCTAAGCAACCACTTAAGAGCATT